CTCTTAAAGCTCTCGTGGATGCTGGTACTGTCAGCCAAGCGAAGGCGTCATACAAACTGGCTGCTGGGTCAAGGGCTGCGGACAAGAATCCCGCGTCCGCGAAGAAGTCCAAACCAAAGGCTCACAAAAAGAAGGCTCCTGCCAAAAAGCCTTCCACAAAGAAGGCTACGACTAAGAAGCCTGCTAGGAAGCCGGCTGCTCCGAAGACCAAGAAGGTCGCTGCGAGCAAGAAGGTTTCTGCTCGATCAAAGCCTCCGGCGAAGAAGCCGGCTGCCAAAAAGGTCAAAAAAGTGACGGCGAAGAAGCCTGCTGCTAAGCGATTGAAGAAGTAGGTCTTGAGGTTCTGGTAGAAACCTTTTAATTGCCCACAATCATTACAAGGCGTTGTTTGGCGCCATCATGAACGGTCTAATGAGAAACCCCATGGAAACTGCGAATAGGAGAGGTATCTACCAAACTGCGAACCCAGGGCCTGAAAGCTGGAGTCTGGTTTTAGAAATACTGACCAAACCAGAGGATGAGTCAGTGAACTGATATAAGTGAGCTATCCGAGCATCAGCCGCAGAGTCAGGTCACCTGACTCAGCTGTCTCATTTCTAGTCCTCCAGTGTCAGAGGTAACAGAGAGAAGCAATCGTACCGCTGCGTGTCTTCACGACCCTACAGCGTCCTTGGGGACTGCAGTTTTATCATTGTGGCATTCAATTCCATCGACATCAACGCAACGTTGCTCTCATTAAATACGATGATCCCCAACTAGGTCATTTATCCACCAGGAAACGGACCGTGTTTTCCCCTCATGCAAAGTACGTTATTATGACGGAATGTACAGTGATGGCCGTCAAGTGGTGTGTTTTGTCACTTTTTTCGTCAGAAAAGTCGGACTCCCATGGCAGATGGGATTTACCATGATCGTATACACTTTGATATCAATCTAATTTCACTAGCAACTTATGTCTGGCAGAGGTAAAGGCGGCAAAGGTTTAGGAAAGGGCGGTGCTAAACGTCACCGTAAGGTTCTTCGTGATAACATTCAGGGCATCACTAAGCCGGCTATCCGCAGGCTTGCGCGCCGTGGTGGAGTCAAGCGTATTTCCGGGTTGATCTACGAAGAGACCAGAGGTGTCCTCAAGGTCTTCCTCGAGAGTGTCATTAAAGATACTGTTACCTACACCGAGCATGCTCGTCGGAAGACTGTTACCGCTCTGGACGTCGTTTACGCTCTGAAGCGCCAGGGCAAGACCTTGTACGGTTTCGGAGGTTAGGTTTACTTCCGTTATGCAATTGCGAGATCATATCACGGTGTTATTCAACACCATCTTTCGTTTTTTTAGCATCTCCGATTTGGGAGTTGGGATTTTTCTCGAGAACCCTCGAACTGGAATTTAGTTACTGGAGGAGTTTTATCGACCACCGCGTGCTCTAATCTTACCATTCATTCGACTTGCGCAAGGCAAATCATCTTGCGGTACCGGGTAATACTCTGATAATCTCAAAGTATTACTCAGTACCGTTAGTGCACCGAATAATATTGTTCGTCCGAGCACATTGCTAACTCCTGCAGCTGACGGCGATACTCAGAATGAGTGTCTGCAGAGGATGGGAATGAGTAGT